ACAGGCAGCGCAACAAAACAAAACTAAAAACATTTACACAAAAGCGCAAAGAAAGATTTCAACTTACGCCAAAGAACAATGGGATGGCCGACTGTGGGAGGTGCAAGTGGAGAAGCTTACCGAAGCTGACGTTAATGAGACCGGGCTCACGAAATTCTGTTCCAAAAAATCTTTGAATTTTCGTGGGTCGGTAAACATCTGCTTAATTTACTTAAGGGTTTTCTTTTTTTTTTTTTACAGTTTTCCCTTTTTGGTTGTTTTTTGTATCGACAGATGTTAAATTTACTGCTCAAGGCAAAGGCAAAGGAAACCTGAGAAACTGATTATATGTATAGCAATAAATTTTAAAGAAATCGGCGAAAATAAAGAGGATGATAGAGAGAGAGAAGAGAGAGAAGAGAGAGAGAGAGAAGAGAGAGAGAGAGAAGAGAGAGAGAAGAGAGAGAGTGGAGATAGTAACTGAATGACAGCATAAAAGAGTGAGTGATAAGAGCAAAAAATATAAGTGAGTGTCATTAAAATATGTTTTCATAGAATTTCTCTTTATGTTCAACTTGTTAAGCTGACAATTAGGCAGTAAAAAGCCTGTTTAAATAATATAAAAATAAAAATAAAAAAAAATAAAAATAAAAAAATAAAAATAAATAAAAATAAAAAAATAAAAATAAAAAAAAAATAGAATTTCTATTCCCGAAAATATTTTTTCATTCGATGCATTGAAATCACTCCTTAAGCAGATCTTGAAAATTCAGCCAAAGATGACTAACGTTGGCTACAAATTAAGTTAAGGACAAGGAACAGAGAGTCAGTCACTTTAGTATAACAAGCGACATTTTTACTTCTTTTATTTTTTTTGACTTAATTTAAAAGCTTTTGACCATAATAACAGCAACATTAAACAGGCAACAACAGTTTGAACTTTGTCGACATTTCATTATCCAAAGTAATCCAATGGGGGTTCTTTCCTCATTTGTTTGTCCTCTTGGCAATAATAATTCGGAGAAGAATGCGAATATTTACAAATATCTTCTGTAATGTGCAGACATACATATGTGCAAACATATATATATATATATATATGTATATATATATATTAATTTATATTTAAATTAAAGCTATGTACTTAAGGGAATTGCGATAGTCGCATTTAAGCAACAATTCGCATCTATTTATGTCACTTTATTTACATATATTAATCTGATTGGCCTGCCGGGCTGCTAGTGAATTAACACACAGCTTAATCTGTCAATTCCGCTGGGAGCAAATGGGAAGCCAACAGAAGAGGATACAATTTAAAATGAATAACTTGCTAGCGGAGATATAGCAACTATAACCTTCTGTTCTCGCTAAATTTCAAATCTAAATGCTGTCTTATGCGATTTGAGTCTGTAGGCGCTTCGACTTTTATATTATATCTGTAAAAATAAGCAACTTTAACCCCCAAGAGCTATTACTCAAATTTTTTAGATTTTTCGCTCATTAGTTTTAAAGTCCTTTAAAGTGAACTCAGCGGTTTATTTCGTTCACTAATGTAAGTGAGATACACACATACCATATATATGTGAAACCGCAACATTCTTTAATATTTTTTAGCGTGGAAAGCAAGAATATGCCGCCCACGCTGTCGTTCCATAATTGCAGCGGTGTTTCAGGTCTCATTGTTATTGTTGTCATGTCAAATGGCAAGATTGGGCAATAAATCAAAACTGCTCCACATGAAATTTCGGTCGAAAAATGTCCATACGAATAAATGGCTCGGCTCTCATAAATAATTGTACGGCGCAATATATGTATGTATGTATGTGTGTGAGCGCGCTTCAATGTTTAATCGTTGAGCACGTGGACCCTAAAAGTAGGCAATGTTTTCTTTAATGGAATCTTAAGCCAAAACAAATTTATGACTGCCTTAAGCAATGTCGTCGGATGTATAAGCACACATAATTCTATATACATTACATAATATTATCTTATGTGAGCGTACACTTGAAGAAATTACTGCGCTGACTTACAAAATTCGTTTACTGTCAATATATAAAAAAAAAAAAAATAACGTAATTAATTAATGTAAAGCTTTTTGTTTAGTTTTATATTTATTTTTAGTATGAGCTTTAATTAAGTTAATTGGCAATAGCAGCTAATATGAAGAAAATGCAGGTCTGGACCAGCCAGTATATTGTAATGACCGACAGCAGAGATACCCTGCAAAGCATTGGAGAAGAGATGGAATTTTTGAAATAATTTTCTAATAGCAAAAGCTATCCAAATTCTAAGAGTCTGATGTGAAATGCTAGCGACATATGTCAAAAACGATTGCAAAAATTTGAAAGCAAACAGCAACGATTCGATGAATGGACGAATGGACGGATGTATGGCTGTATGGTTGAATGAGTGAACTGATAGCTGCCTCTGCCTCAGCCTCTGCCTTTGTATCACGCACCAGCACACACACCTGCTATCTATGTGTGTGTGTGTGTGTAAGTCCATGACACGCGTGCCACATGTCAAATGATTCGATTCACATTGGGGACAAAAACTTTGCGCTGTGAGTGCAGGCAGGTGGTGAAAATGTAGGTGGACAGGTGAACGGAACGTGGGCCGTGAATGCAATCCTGTTGGCCAGGATGACGCCCATGTACAATGCTGGGTCTGGGACTGCTGCTGTTCTAGTGCTGCCGTTGCTGACAGTGCCAACTATTGTTGTGCCAGATAAAAAACCGCCGAGATTTAACATCACGTTTATAAAGCGGATCTGACAGACGGATAAGATTAAAAGTCTGCAGCAGTGCATCACCTGCATAACAAATCTTCGGTAGCACATGGCCACAATGTACATAGCTAGATAAATAGCAAAAGGTAGAAAATACTTTGTATACTTTGAGCACCTGGAAAAACAACGTGTTCGCATTGTTCCCCTGCTATGCGGTACATAAATAATAAATGCCAAACTATAAATATTAATATTTGGAGCATGTACATTTACTTAGCCCATTATTGTTTTGTTTACATAGCCCGCATTCACTGTAAGTGTGTAAGACAGCAGGAGGCGTGGCTGACCTCGTAAACTATAAACTCGTGCAAGAGTTTATATGCGTCATGTATTTACTTGATTAGCACAAGCGAGCTGAGTGCTTGGACTTTTATTATTGATTAGATTTGGACACTTAACGGTAATTTTATGATCTAGTAGTATGCCATTAAATACACGAACAGAATATATATGTATTTGTATTTGTATTTGTATGTATTATGTAATATTAATTTTGTTCTGTCTTGATATATCAGTTTGTCCGCCAGTATTAATGTTGATCCTTAAAATTTCCGCAAGCAAATTTAATTTAATTTATCTAGTTTTTCTGCAAACTTAATTTATAGAGTTTCGTATTGCTGATTGCATTGCTTTTCTATGTGGAAATGATTCCATTCACGGGCATCCACTGCATGCGCGCTGCCTAATACAAAAGCATTGTTCAGTGTCAGGTTGCCAGGCAAATTAACATGCATGTCAGCATCGGGTAACTAAGTTGTTGCCTCCTTGGCCCGGATGCAGTTGACGCATTTGCTTAGCTGATTACGGAATACCATTCGGAGTGACATAACGAGTCTCGTATCTTCCAGCCGCACGCATCGGGAGGGCGGATGCTGGCGGCTGGCTGTTGATGGTTAGAATTTGCGGCAGAACGTTAGAGAAAGTAAAATTATGTTTACGCATTAAACGCGAAATGAGTAATCCACGCTCTGTCACTCTCTCTCTCACACACACACACACACACACACACACACATGCACACATACACACACATACACGCGCGCAGACAGCCAGAGACATACTTTTACATAAAGGACATGCTCATGCATGTCAGGAAAATGTCATCGTCTACTCAAATGTCAGACTATCCGCCCATATCCTTCTCATTTATTTATAGACTTGATGAGCACTGCGCGAGCTAATGTCATTTGCATACCTCAGATTCTGAGTGGATTTGTCAATTGACATGTGTGAGGCGGACAGGAAACGACAAATTTTGATCAAAATTGACAGCTTCACTGGGAGTTCAAATGCAAAATGTGAAATGCGAAAAGCGAAAACTAAACTCGATTCTGTGTCCTAGATACGTAGTAACTGCACTTTGCTGAAATTACTTTAATGCAATTAAGTGAACGCCAGCGTTTCAATAAATTACTGCTGTACCTTATTGTCAATATGTATTATAGATTATGTTGATTAAGAAGATTAAAATTCTACTCCGATGAGTTATATAAAGTAGCCAATAAATTGAAAAATCACAGTAATTAGAAAATTATTCATACTTTTCTTACCCAGAACATGTTGATAAGAACTTTACCGACTAGATAAAGTAGATAATATAATCTATCTGGTCATAGATCGAAACTATAAATGCTTTTGATTCTAAATGCAGTCCCCTATAGAATCTCTTTAACAGTTCAAACATTTAATATTTCAAACATTGATAATTCGAGAGTCGACTGTATACATTCTTGTATAACTAACGCCCAAAAAAAAAGGTATAAAATTTAGTATATTTTCGATATTTCACGCAATTTTTTTTAAAGCAAATTAATAAAAATAGATTTATCATATGATTTCCAAAGACTAAAAAACAAACAAATAATATAAATATTTCAATAAAATTTGTATAACTGCATCTTAAAGTTACCTTTCCCATTATTAGTAAAAAACATGCATCTAATTTGTAATCAATACACATACATATATATTTTCTAATTTATATACCAACATATGAATAAAAGAAATTTTGAAGCGCAAGTGTTAGGAGTTTGTGTTTTCTTTCGTTTGGTTATATGTATCGAATGAATAATCTCAAGCATAAATATGAATATATAACATTTGACAATTCAAGCTGGTTTCGATTGGGTATATATATTATTGGGTATGAATGTATATATCTATTTAGCACGCATTCACATATGTATGTATGGCAGTAAGTCTGTAATGAATGCAAATGGATGTCAACACTTACGTAAATTTGTACAAACAGCTCAGCGAGTTGGCTTATTAGAGGAAATGGTAGGTGCAGCTTGTTGAATTTGCATTAGGCAAACAGTTTACACACAGTTTGGACAGTTTGTACAGTTTATACAGTTGGGGATAATATGCTGGTATCTATATAAATATTAAATAGTACTTGGCATGCATTTATGAGGCGGCTGCCTTCAGAATTTTGGATTCACTGTCAGGCTAGTGGCATGTGACGTGATATACCGAGGCCTAATCGAGTACCAATACAAAGGCTAACACAAAGACAGGCACAACAAACACAGGCGCACATACGGAACAGACTTCTACATATAACATATATGCATATATACGAATTTATATATGTATATGAATAGGGCTGTTGGCATACAAACGCCTTTAAGCGTAGACAAACATGACGTAAACACCCAAAATGTATGCTTGCTTATTTTTCCATAGTTCCACAGTTGTACTTGCAGGAATTTTCCATATTTCGTTTATTTCATTTGGTCTGCGATAATTTCGTGCGACTGTGTAGTCACTGGAATAGCCACAAACGGTTTGATTTAATAAAGTTTTTTTTGTTAAGAGTCGCGGGGGCGTGGCAGTCAGACATAGCGACGACATCAAGGACATTTAATAAGGCGCAGCGCACACAAAGAGCAACAACAATGGCCAAGACAAGCAAAGCACAATAACAACAACAGCAAAGTGTGTCACACTGAACACACACACACACACAAACACACATGAACACGCAAGCACACACCAACGCACACTGGCACACACAGGCTGACTAATGCTATGCCATTAAAGTAACGGGTCACGATCAAAATACCAACGGCTGTCGCTGGCGATGTCGATTGCTAATTAATCGATTTCACATACTGTAGCACTAGCCAAAATGACGATTACACAACACTGCAAAAATGCAACGGCACTCGCTTAAATTCACTTTCACTTGCTTTCGGCACTCACACGCGGCAAATGCGACTGAGTAGATTCTTAGCTTTCGCTTCGTTTGGCTAACTTTCTAGCCGACACTTTTGGTTATTGGTTGTTGTGCTTGTTGTTGCTGTTGCTATTGCTATTGGTATTGCTATTATTATTGCTATTTGAAATGTTATTAACTATCTGTTTACATGCGCCTGCAGAAAGCGACGTCTGTTGCGCACGAGAGCCGAGGACGGACTGAAGCACGAGCCATTCAAATGACTCGACTTGGAGCCGAAGGACTCGTGACTCGTTTGCTTTCGTTGAGTTACATTTACATTTGAGTGAGTTTTTTCTCATACACTTGAACGATGCGCATTTCTGCATCGCACGGGCAGACGGGCAACCAGACACGTAAATAATTAAATTTTGAAATAAGATTATGAAATCCCTTCTGTCTCGTCCTCTGCTGCAGCACTATTTGTTTTTATTCATTGGGGTATAAATATGTGATTTACTTGAATATTGTAATCTACATGAATAGAGAATGAATCAAATATAAATAATATGCGTATTTTAAATATTATATATCTCATATATGATTTTAAAGATATTTATATTTAATTTTAATGCGAAACATTTAGTATTTGGAGCTCCATTAATTATGTATAATCATCTACCACTGCTATTATTATACCTAGTGTAGGGTATTTAGCAGTTCACAATGCAGAACGATTGTCTTTGATTGGGTAACGGTTTCTCTGTTTCTGTTTTGTTTTGTCGCTTCCTGTCATTTGCCGCTTGCAGTTTTCGGCTTACTCAGTTTTTGCTGTGGCCAGTGCGACAATTGAAATTTCCGGTTTCCGTTGTGCATTAACGTCCACGTGCGTTCGGGTCGCTATCTGAGACGAGAAGGCAACTATTTTTTAGCGCCAAGTAACGCCAATTGCTGCTTATAAGCCCAGTGTGAACGTCCAAAAACATTCTTGTGCAATTGGCACTGCAAAACGCGAACTCATTTAAATTTCATATCATCTTTGGCATGGAGCATGGGGCATGGAGTGCCACACAGGGTCGGGCGGTGTTGGATGGAGGTTTGCAGCTGGCAGTTGGCAGTTGGAGGGCGTTGTAATGGGGGTTGGGGGCTGGGTCGAAGCTGGGGTTTGGTTAGTACACCCGAGGGCATTGGGTGCAAATGAGCAAAGTTGAGCGTCCTCTTTGTTTATGACTCAGACGCCGTTGGCAGGGCGTGAAAGGAGGCGCCCTTGTGTAAAAAATCGCATTGTTCTGTGTGAGTGAGTGCGTCTGTGTGCGTGCTCTTTCCCTGGCATTTGCATTTGTGTGTGCTCAACAACAACGACAACAACGACAACAAGGACAACAACAACAACAACAACGACTACAATGGTAACACATGTCTCAATGCTGAAAGCAACCTGTTGTAGCTGTTGCGTCTAAAAATACAGCCAAATGTGGGTACAATTCATGCGAAATATATAGATAAGGCTCATGAGGGGTCCGATTGTTCGCTTATTACCATAATTATTTTTATTAGTATTATTCATAATGATATTACTCTTCTATTCTATTATTGTTAATTTTTCTTTTTATACCCTGAACCCATTGAAAATGGGAAATCAGGGTATAATGGTTTTGTGAAAAGTATGTAACAGGCAGAAGGAATCATCGCAGACCCCATAAAGTATATATATTCTTGATCAGGACGACGAGCTGAGTCGATATAGCCCTGTCCGTCTGTCCGTCCGTCCGTCCGTCCGTCCGTCCGTCCGTCCGTCCGTCCGTCCGTCCGTCCGTCCGTATGAGCAAAAGAATCTCAGAAGATATAAGAGCTAGAGAGCTGAAATTTGGCATGCATACTCGTGTATACCATAGGCAGTACAAGTTTGCTTTATTTTTTCGATAACTCGTCCGATAACTTTTTTATCGAGAATAATCGAAAAATCGACATGGTTTTTTCAGCATAATTTTAACACTTTTAGACCTGGAAACTTCAAATTTGGGTTGTATATAAAGTTAATGGATACAAAGATTTTGTAATTTACAGATTTTGGATACCACGCCCCCTTCTCCCCCAATTTGTAAAAAACGCATTTCAAGTACTAGAGACTTGTGCTTTGGAATGTACACATATTTTAACCATATGATTACGCTCTGAAAGTTTCATTAAGATCGTATGTCTACAAAAGAAATTATTCAACAAATAAATTCTCATAATATTGCCCACATTGCAGCGCAGCCCAAGCGCAGTCGCTGCTAACTGCGCAGTCAGCAGAGCACGTGCTTATAAGTGCATGTGTATGTATGTGTGCATAAAAGAAGTCCAGACTGATTAGAATATCAGCTTGGAGGGTTCAGGGTATCTCCTAGTCGAGCAGTCTCGACTGGAGCCTTCTTACTTGTTATTAGTATTATTCATAATGATATTACTCTTCTATTCTATTATTGTTAATTTTTCTTTTTATCATTTTATTTTTATAAAACATTTTACCATTTTATCAAATCTAATAATGATTGCTTTGACCTAATATCTAACAATTTACATTCTTTTTTTAGTAAAGTAATTATTTTCAATGCAAATGGTTATTAGATTATTCTGTCAGCAATCATAAATCAGAATAATTATTTGAGTCAATTGACAGATTAAATGTTTAAATGCATTCATTGAGATGATGCACTCAGAATAAGAGACAGGAAAATAGAGTTTATATTAAGTTTTCCAGCTTTAACAGACATTCCCCACTAAATTGTTATTTTGCTCTTAAGCTTAAAATATATTTTTAAGTCATCACTCCTCTATTTATTTCTCACTCTCTTTATTTCCTCTCTCTACTTCTCTCTTATTTTTCTCTCCCTATCTTTCTCTCTCACTCTCTTCATCTCTCTCACTCTATTTCATTCACTCTCTCTCTAAACTGCACTTAAGTAAAGTCATAGACTTAAGTAAGAAAAGTTGTAAACTATTATGAGCTGTACTTAAGTATTTTCCGTATGATCTCAGCTCTGAAGTTTGTAAGCATTCGACTAAAAATAATTTTGCTCGATGAATACGCTTAGTTGCATGGAATATCTGTTTAACTCACGTGAGTTGGAATTTAAATTTGTGAATTATTGTTTTTTGTTCCTCATTATATTTTGATATATGACACTATGAAAGTATCTTTGTAAAAGTTTTTCAAATAATTTGTATTCCTCAAAGTTAATTTTCTTAACTTAACAACTTAAGCCCATGAATGTGAGAAAATGTGAGCAAGAATCTCCCGGCCTATTACTGGCAGGGTCATCTCTATCTACCGTCTGTCTCCACCTGAATAATCTTTTAAGAACTATATATACTGACTGATTGATTGAATGACAAATCGGTTGACTGCTCAGATTATATCTAAAGAAAAATGGCTAAAATATCATATACACACACATACACATCGATTCGAACGATGGAGATAAATAAGTGTTTTATTATAATTGATTAACGTCTAATGATAATGGGATCTACTAATCAAGCTAGCGAAAGCAATCGATGACTCAGCGAGGAGCCTTTGGGCCTACAATGAAAGCGTCGACTGTATCCAGGGCAAATAGGCGCCAACATTGACGTAGACCCCGGGCACGTTAGCCTGCCCGCAGCCAATGCCCCAGGCGACAAGGCCGACCACATACCAGAGCCCATTGCTGGTGCAGACGAGGGGAGAGCCGCCATCGCCCGTGCACGCATCCTTGCCAGGTTCGCCGCCGGCGCAGATGAAGCTGATGGGGTTGAGTGCAAAGGCCGGCCCGAGGCGCGTGGACTGCAGTGCCGTTTGGCAATTGGCATTCGGTATTAGGGGCACATCCACCTGACGCATAACCGCCTGGTATGCGCCCGTGGGTCCAAAGTCATTCTTGCCCCAGCCAGCCACCCAGCAGCGCTGTCCCACGAAGCTGACTGTGGGCAGGCAAATGGTGCCAATGGTGGAGCGGCTGGTAAGGGAGACGGGCGTGGCCAGCTTCAATATGGCCACATTGTTTTGCAGATTGTTGGGATTGAAAGCGGGATTCACATAGACATTAGAGACGAGCACGTCCTGCGCCGGTATGGGCTCACTAATGCTCGCCGCATTCCATTCGCCCAGGCGCACCTTAAAGGAGTTCAAACTGGCAGAGAATTAGGACGAGCTGCGGAGTGTGGGCCACCAAGTACTCACGCCAAATTGTAGACCTTGTGGGCAGCAGTCAGCACATGTTGTGCTGTGATTAGCGCCCCACCGCCCAGATACACGTCTGCTGTGGTCAGCAGCGCCGCTTGCCAGGGATACGCGCCGAAGCTGGCTTGCCCGGGACTAGCCAGGGCCGAGCCTGCTGGAGGTGGAAAACGCAATCCGCACTGATAGTTGCCCGGCTGGCAGCAGGCCACAAGCCCATAGTTACAGGTCAAAGGAGCCGCTGTGGAGCTGGCTGTGGGCTGAAAGCAGAGCACGGATAAGACTGATGGTCCCTGGATTACCTAGTCGTCCTGGTCAAGCAACTCACCACTCCGCCATTATTCACAATGCGTATATCCAGCTGACCACTGCCGTCATTCGGAGGCGTGGGCAACGGATTCGGACAGGATCCAGCAGGCACGCAACGGCAATTACTTGTGCCGGGAGTCACTATGCTCGTTATGGGCGGCACCAAGGTGCCAACAATCAATTGTCGCGCGAGCACTGCAAGAGGTCAAGTCAGAAGTGCTTCATATGCCACTCGACAGCTTCGACTTACGCGTGTGATTATACAGATTGCCCGCATCGCTGGGCTGGGGTGCGCTCTGCTCGGTTAGGGAGCCAAAGCTCCAGCCGTGCACACCAGTGTCACCGAGCAGCTGGAGGAGCAGCAGGCCAAGTGTTGAGAGTAGTGCATTCATCGCCTATACAATGGCAACTAACCTGGTTAAGTGACATGCCAGCTGGCTATATAGGGCGATCCGAGCGTACGTCCAGCAAATAAATTACCAGCCAAACGACCTCAGTTTTGAGTTAGCCCCAGCTCAGGGATTTTCCGAGCTGCATAACGCAAAAAAAAAAAAAAAAACAAAAAATATTAAACGCTTTCAACCGCAATCATAAAGAACAGCAACAATATGAGAGATAATCAATGCGACATTTGAATGCTTTAAACACTCTGCTTAATGGTTTTATGCAGGCGAATACATTTTATGAAAATCGAAATTTGATAGGTCCTTCAAAGGCTCCACATCCATTAATATGGATAGATATGA